CATATATATATGTATGTATGTATATATATATATATATTTATATATATATATATATATATGCTATAAACATATATACTGCATTTGAACAATCTACAATGACTATTTCTTCAATAACAAATAAAAAAAAAATTTATATATAATTATAGATTACCCACCATGCATATGGATGTGATTTGGCCACTGCATTCAACCCATCTAGTAAGCATTAGTGTGGGCTCTGCTGTGTAGACTTTGAGAGCTTTGGTGGGCCATAAAAAATTATGAGGTGGGCTGGATTTGGTCCCCAGTCCTTGAGTTTGACATACGTGACTTAAAGTGTCTGGTACCCAATAAATAGATCAGGAACTACCAGTAGATCGCGAAGGGAGTGCGAGTAGCTCATGAGCAATTAAAAACAATTATACATATAAATACAATATATATACATATATACACATATATTTATAATTATGTATATACATATATGTGTATATATATAAATATATATATATACATATACTATACTTCCATACAGCTACATGTATTTAATTAGTACTCCAACATTTAATAAATATATGCATATATATGGGTATATATGTATATATACTGTACAACCATACAGCTACAAGCATTTAATTAGTACTCCAACATTTAATAAATATATGAAGTATTTTCAGTTTATATGAGTGAATATATATTTATATTTTCATTGTAGGCAGATCAATTTAGCCTGGTCATTTCAATACATATGTGTATATACATATATGCATGTATATACTTTTATGTATATATGTATATATATGTGTGTGTGTGTGTATATACACATATATACTTTTATGTATATATATGTATATAGGTGTATGTATATATATATACTGCATATCCATACAGCTACATGCATTTATATGAGTGAATATACAGTATATTTAACATTTTGACTGGAGGTCAGTTGTATTGTATTGTCAGTTTAGCCTGGTCATTTCAACAGCGGCTCCAGAGCCTAAACAGTGTGGACAGCCCTGGTCTGGAGCCTGAGTTTGACTTTGACCATTTAGTTTCTTGGAGTAACAGCAGTATGTTTCCCTCAGAGTACGCAGTACGTGGACAAGCGCTGGTCCTGTGAACTCTTCATCCTGATCTCGGTCAGTACGTCAGTCATCCTGATGCGGCACCTGTTGCCACCGCGATACTGCGACCTGCTTCACAAGGCTGCGGCTCACCTGGGTTGCTGGCAGAAAGTTGACCCCTCCCTCTGCTCTAACGTGCTCCAGCACATGTACGTAGTTCTCAGTGGTCATTACTAGCGAAAAGTGTCAACGCTGAGTCAAATTATTATCTCATTTTACTGTTTTATTTTGCACAGCTGGACAGAGGAGTACATGTGGCCACAGGGGGTGCTGGTGAAACATAATAAGAACGTCTACAAGGCCATGGGTCACTATAACGTTGCAGTGCCGTCGGATGTCTCCCATTATCGTTTTTATGTGAGTACACGTCAGTAAAGAGGTTCCACAAAGATACAAATGTGTGAATGAGTGTGTGACGAGGCTGCGTTTTGGGTTTTCTTCCAGTTTTTCTTCAACAAGCCTTTACGTATACTAAACATACTCATCATCCTGGAGGGTGCTATGATCTTCTACCAGCTCTACTCACTGGTGTGCTCCGAGAAGTGGCATCAGACGATATCGCTGGCGTTGATTCTCTTCAGCAACTACTACGCCTTCTTCAAACTTCTGCGAGACAGAATCGTCCTGGGGAAGGCGTACTCGTATTCAAACAGCTCCTCCGACCCCAAAGTCAGTTAGGCTTTAAGTTATTGTTGGTCTGGTTCAGACAAACAAGCCTAAGAGCTCTGTATTTTATAAAATGCATTTTGTGTCAAGTTTTTGTTCCGCTCCGCCATAATAAAAAGAAATATTTTTGTATTACTTTAAAGGTTTGGCTGTTGTTGCTGTTATTGCTGTTGTGTTTCACCACAAGAACAAGTGAGCTTTATTTTAAACAAACATTTAAAGCGTCTCAACAGAAAAACAATACATGTACAATGTGAAGGCAAGACAAAAGAAATTAAAAAGGATAAAGACGGGAAAAAACATTTCAAAAGACGTTTATAAATGTATATATATATATATACATATTTCAATGTGTGTTATGTTTCATTGCATTGGATTTCTCGATTATTTTGACCAAACTTCACTGAATAATTAAATAAACACAACTTTATAAATTCATAAATTAAGGAACAAGATAAAGGTTTAAACTCCATTTGTTATTTAAAAAAACCGTTGAAACACATATCGATCATATTGATATCGAGCCACCGTCGTATTAGCTTTACACCTGTGAATAATTTCACTACCGGTAAAAAAAAAAGGTAAAAAAAAAATCTAATATGACTTTACAACCAGTTAAATGATTACGGTGCATTTACTAACTTTCTAGAAAGCTCGACACTTTATTAACAACTTTATTATTCCGTCGAAAGTTACCTTCGGAAATGAAGGTTCCAGCAGTAGTTCAGCGCCATAAAAAATACACAGGAATAGACATAAAAATAAAGTAGAACCGAACAAGAATAGTCTTAGTTTAGTGTTGATACCGCACTTCGATATAAATACTACAAACACTGCCTAGTTTCAAGTTTCAGCATTTTTAAAAATGATTACGAGTAAAAACCCTATCGTAGATTATTCTAGAAAAAAAAAAAATTGGGTCAGAAATAAATTCATCATCTTACCACGGGTAGTCAGTGTTGACTGGTCGTCGACTTCCTGTCCACAGTTGTGACCGACTGTAATACACTGGAGTGCACACATACGCCCTCTAGCGCCGGCAATCGCAGTAAACTGGCCCTTTAAGAGGGATAAAGACGACAGCACCGCTCAATCCCAGCGCATCGATGCCGCGATTTACGTTTTATTCACAGCGTCGCTGTGGACTCCGGCGTCAGAGATAATTCCCCCATTATTTATTTTCCCAGTGGTTTTTTAAAGATTTATTCGTACGATGTTTACGTGATTGTTTTCATTCTGTGGCGCGTCGTCCCGCTGCTTTGCTCTGTGCTCCGTAATTATTCCGGTAAGTGTTCATTATCTGCCTCTTGAAGCTGTCGCATTTTCTCTTTGACCGACTGTTGTGACGAAAGTCGGTTTTTATTTTTTACAAACACTGACGTCGTTATTGATGAATAAGGATTCAGGCGCATAAAGTTGGCACCGTGTGTGTGTGTGTGTGTGATTGTTGTGGCCATCTTTGAACAGGAGCTGGCGCAGTGCACGTCAGGATGGAAGAGGAAACAACAGTGATTTCATTTCATGTACAAAAGATAAATTAAAAACCGTCGAAATGTCACATTTCTGTCGGTAATCTTGGTGATTTCCTGCAGACCGTTCGTATTACTCGTATAATTTTTTTAAACCTTTAAATTTAAATGGTCTTTAAATGAACTTTGTTTACTGCAGGGTGAAATGAGATTCTTACAACAAAAATATTCACGGTATATTTAACTTCATATATGTATGACAAAAATACATTTATAACAATAAAAGTATTTAGACACGTTTATAAAAATAAGGAAATTGCATTAGGCTAAAAGGTTAGCCAATAAAGTTAGCCAATAAAGGTTTCAATAAACAAACAAAGACAAACAAAAAAAGGCTACTAAAAGTCAACTAAATAGGTCAAATGTTTTATCACAATATCAGAATATGATGCCAATGTTTGTTTAATTTACCCCAAATTTAAATGAATGAATAAAATCGCAAAATGTTCCTTAAAAAGATTAGCTTAAATTTAGCTGTAAAAAAGCCAAAATGTTTTTTTAATGCTACATGTTAGCCGAGATCAGCTCAGAAATAGATAAATGTATGTATGTAATGGTTCAAAAAGCAATTGACTCTAATATTTACTTGCAAATAGCCAGAAATTAATGATGAAATAGTTCATATTTGGCATAAATAACGCAAATAGCTATAGCTACAACAGCTAACATTTAACATTAAAGATAAAACCTAAAAAGGTGTTGGATGTTAATTCGGATGTAAAACTTTTCCCACAGCATAATTAATTTAAAACAAAAATTGTTCTTATAGTGATAATAATACGTATAAAACTAAACTCGTCAGTACAGTCAGTATTGCAGTATCACTCTAGTAGTGATACCTGTATGTTTTTCATCACTCTCATTTGAAGGTGGTTCCGTGTAAACACACGACGACTCGAGCTTTCCCACTGAGCTAATGTCCCGTCAACAGCGTAGTACTACATTGATTTTTCCACCTAGCCATTTGTCTGAAAGCGATCCACCCAGTGTCCATCACGTGCTGCAGTCTGTGCAGCACTTGATTCAGTGGTCGATCAGTGCAGGGTCACTCACCCAGCATCACATCTCTGCCCTGAGCTGACGAGCTGCTGCCGGCTGTTCCTTCAAATTGTTTTGATGGGTTTGACGTAAAGCTCGAGTTTCACACTCCTTCATTTTCACACAGATTATTTTAGGCCTTTACTTCCGTGAAGCTGGTCTAAAAATATTTTTCGATCAGCCACTGATTCGCTCCCACCTTCTAACACCAGGGAGGAGGGAGCAGAAACGACTGATGAAGGAAAAACTTTCATCAGTCGTTTCATTTAAGCAAAGAGATTTGTGGAAGAGAAGTTAATACTAAGGATGTCTGATATGCCAAACACTAATATCCAATTCCGATATCAACCAATACCGATATAGGACTGGTAATATTTATTTATTTATCTGTTCAAACCACTGCATGAGTTGCTGGCACCATTCTGCAAACAATCCCCTGATTATTAAAATAGATTAATTAAATGAGCTGCAATGCTGCCATCTAGTGACTTTCACTTTCATATACAGCCGTTTGTCCCCAAAACTATTTTTAGGGCACACATCATTTGGCCAAACTTTGACATTGTGTTATGGCGTCTTCATTATCGAATGAAAAGCCGATAACGATTCTTACAGATGTTACATAATTATGCTAATATAAGGCCGACAATATCGGTCGGCCGAAATTATCGGACATCCCTCGTTAATACTGTTTGAATCTTTGGTTTATTACAGCCTGAGCTGCAGGTCTGAACCGGTCCAGTATCTCCGATCTCCGAAGTTTTTGGACTTCCTACCTTTGTTGTTCCATGACATCCTGTGTACCGTTGTGACGGTGACCACTCCCTGGCCTTGCTGCCGACAGGAGCGTGAATAAATCATGGAAGACAAACGCAAGAAGCGCAGCCCCAAGGTGTCCCTCCCGCAACCTCCTCCTCCCCCCATCAACCCCCGCAAGCTCACTGTCATGCCGTCCAGCAAAAGCGCCACCTTCTCCCTGGGCCTGCCGCAGCCGCCGTCGCCCAAGAACAGAAGCAAGTACAAGAGGTCCGTAGGCGCTCCAGGACTGCCCAGAGAGGTGTTCGCGGCCGTCGTAGCCCCACCAAAGACCACCAGGTATTGAAGTATCTACTGATACTGATATCAAGGCGATAGTGACACTGTTTACGACATGTTGCGTAAAGTTGAGGATTTGGGCTCAGGCATCAGATCGGACGGCCTACAGTGGTTTTCTTTGATGTTCCATCCTGACGTTTTGACCGATATCAGACCGATACTGATCTTGCATATCCGATTGGGCCATTGTTAGTATCAAACTCCTGGCTCGGGGGCCACTTCCAGCCCACAAACATCCCACTTCAGGCCCGTGACTCAGATATCAATGTTGATTTCATTTTAGGTAATCAGGTTATCCTGTCAGACCTGAACTGTGAAACCAGGTTAATGTTGTTTGTCTCTCCAACCCTCCTCAGACCTCACAAAGAGAAACCTAGAGCACCTCAGCCCGCGGGCCCCAGTAAAGTGGTCCAGTCTTCCCCTCTGCAGCACTCCTTCCTCACAGATGTCTCAGATGTGAGGGAGATGGAGGGCGGGCTCCTCAACCTCCTCAACGACTTCCACTCAGGCAAACTCCAAGCTTTCGGTAAGAAAACCTCGATCAGAGCTCGGGCCGCGGAGGGAGTGTTGGGTTACAGGCTGGGAAGGAGTCCAGATGAGAAAGTAGATTTGTGACACCAATCAGACTGGAATCAAATAGTGCTGAGGCTATTTTTACCTCCCTGCTGCCATGGAAATACATTTGACTTTGCTGTGACGACTGCCACGACCACGCGATGCTACGCAGAGTATGCTAACACCGTCCTACCTTCTAGGGAAGGTGTGCTCGTTTGAGCAGCTGGAACACGTGCGTGAGATGCAGGAGAAACTGGCGCGGCTGCACTTCAGCCTGGACAGCCACGTGGAGGAGCTCTCTGAGGACCAGAGGAAATGTGTCTCTGACCACAACCTGGAGCACCTGCTCAGCAACGTGAGTGAAAACCCCGGCACACGGGCGCCATCCCTGCGGTACGCCGATGACCCAGGGTCTTAAAATGTCAACTAAGAATATACATTTACACTTACATTTTTACAAGTTTTTGCAAATGGCTGTAGTTCAGGCAAAACTACATCTTTACTGCAAAACAACGTAGCTTTGCCGTCTTGACGCTAATGTCAGCTACGTTAGCCAGCCGCAGCTAACATACAGCTTTGAGCTTATATAGCGTAACTAAAAAATGTTCATCAAAACGTGGCAGGTAATCTGGCTTAAATATATAATAATACAAAAATGACTTAGAAAAATAGTCGTGAAAGAATATTTTTAGAATATGCCCCTACTGTCCAGTAGGGGCAGCCTTTTTTGAGGCAGTTCTAAAAATGAGAGGATGTTTATATACATATGTTTTCTTGGAAATATATCAGCCTAATGGTATATTTACTGTAATTCCAGATACTGGCTCTGTGATTAATGTAAAGTGATTTTTTCTTTTTTCTTTCACAGCTGGAGGAACTCAGCACCTCAATGTATCCTTTTCAAACCCAATGTGCGTGAATTTATTGTAAATATTCGTTTATGTTTTTTTCGGGGAGGAGTCCGATCCTTCTGTGTGTGAGTCCTTAACGTCTCCGTGTTCAGACAAAAACTCCACCTAGCTGAGAACCAGGACCTGACCAAGACGCCGGCCCCCTGACGGATCGGTGTTGAGGCGGCCGCAGAACCGAACCGACCTCCATCTCCCTACAGCTGACCAGTGGCCGAACGGCAGCACAGCAGTTAGTGAGCACCATCACTGTCCGATGAGTCAGTGATTCCCAACCTCTGTGCCGCGGCACATTAGTGTGTCGTGAGAGACCGCCAGGTGTGCCCTGCAAAATGATCCAATTTCACTTAATTGGTCTAAAAACGTGTAATTTAATTACTCTAAATATTTTATTTATTGTCTATGCTACGATCACAGGCAGGAAAATCTAATACTTTTCCATCAGGTGGCAGCAGATGGCCATGAAAACTAAAAAGACAGACTCAGCTGTTTGCAGGTGGCAGCAGATGGCCATGAAAACTGAAAAGACAGATTCAGCTGTTTGAAAAAGATCTTAGTGTCTTTCTTCAATTCCTGCGGATATCACAGCGTTGTGTTCAACTAAACAGGCCCAGGTTTCACATTGTTTAAGTAAATTGTGAGTAAATTAAAGAAAGGTTGTTGTATTTAATAAGATAAACCAACGTAAAATGAAATGCGCCCCCCCCACCCCCCCATCGAAATACCATTAAGGGCCTGGTAATATTTATCTATATATCTGCACAAACCACTGCATGAGTTGCTGGCACCAGCATTCTGCGTACAATCCCCTGATGATTAAAATAGATTAATTAAATGAGCTGCAATGCTGCCATCTAGTGGCTTTCACCTTCATATACAGCTGTTTTTCCCCCAAAACTATTTTTACACACATCATTTGGCGAAACCCAAACATTGCAATATCAGGTCTTCATTATCGGAGGAAAAACCGAAGAAAAAATTCTTACATAGAATATTACATAATGATGCTAATATTGGGCGGATAACATCGGTCCTTACTTTATACTGTATGTAACACAGGTTGGGCACATTTAGGTTTTGTCAACGTGTAGAGAAGTTAGACGTGGAGTTCTACACTTGGTCTCTTTATTTAATTCACTGTCTGCTCTCTCGCGCTGTAGTTGCTGTACTTCGCCAGCAGTTGTGCAAAATGTCGTCAGACGCACAAGGGAAGTTTTTGCTGACGCTCTGAACACACCCTCTGAATTTTATACCTTTCATATGAGTTTGACAAAGAGTGAGTTTTAATATATGAGAAAACCTTTTCTTTAGAAAGAAAAAAAAACATTTCAAAAAGTTCTTGTCAAGGTTTGTAAAGTACAAAACATTTGGGTAAAAATGTAAAGATGTGTAAAACACTACGGCCAGTGTGCAGTTGAGCTGCTGCATTTGCTTTTCGCTGATTGGTTACTGTAATAGAAATGGAGGGAAAAAAATATTTTCTTCATCTGTTGAAGGTTCCTTTTTTTTAGTTTTTTAGTTTTTATCGCTGTTTCAAACAGTGTTCCGACTGGAACTGTTTTCATCGAAGCACAAACTCAACAACTCTGCTGCTCAGACGCAAATAATCCTGGATTCAGGACCCAGCACCGCTGCGTTCACCGCACACTTGAGTATCGCAGGTCACATGACCACACTGTGCTGGACGACCACCAATGGCAGCTACTTTCATAGTTTAGGGTGGAGGGTTTGAAAACTCTTATAGACACATATAGACTGTACATAAGAATCGGACAAAGCCGTCGTTTCTTTTTTTTTTTTTTTTACGAAGTTTATGGTTTTTTAACCAATCCAACCAGTCTAGACTGGTGTTCAGTGGAAGTGGGCTGCATGCTAACAGGTCACCAGCCCATTAATTGGACATATGTAAAGACAAACAAACATCAAATCTGTATCTAAACACATGGTTACTCTTGAGCAGTGGTTCTTAACCTTAGGGCTGCGGCCCAAATTTGGCCTGTCAACGCCACCTAGAGGGACGCAAAAAACTTAAATCATTAATTGTAGAAAGGATGTTTTTTCATACTGTGTTAGAAAAATCATGTCGGCTGCTCTTCTCTCCACGGTTCACCACCGCAGATAACAAATGCAGTCGATATTTCTGGTTTGAAGTCCAGAAGATAAGAGCTACGATTAAGGAGAAAAGCAAAGAAGCTCAGACGCGAGAAAAAAAACCAGTTTTTAAAATTCAGCTCAAGAACCAAGCCATAGGTGGACGTCAAAGTCTACATTTACTCAAACGACCACCGAGGGTAAATACTGTACTGGTGATGATGCAACGCATGACTGACAGCTGGACTGTCCAATAGGAGCCTTGGTGTCTGTGGTTTAAGATGTCACAGTGTTGCTGCTCACATGGTTCATCTGGAGGTTTAAGATGTCACAGTGTTGCTGCTCAAAAAAAACAAACAACTTTGACCGATGACAATGCAGTTAAAACGTTAAACACCGACACGTGACGATGGTTTGTTTGGTCTTTTTAAATGTGTCGTGTCATCTGTGCAGCTTGCAGAGCCCGCCTTTAATCTAATCTAGATTCTGAATCAAACTAAAGTTTGCGATGAAGCCATTTCCTGGAAACAGTCTGCTTTAACCAGCATGCCATGTTTGAATGACAGACTACTTCAAAATAAATACTGTATGAAGTAAAACACTGTTTGTTCTGTGTGACTCATATTTCTTCCAAAACATGAGGAATAGTCTGGATTATGTTGGAATTACACGACGAAGACAGAGTAGAGCAGATTAGGTTTTACTGTTATCATAGTAATCCTAATTGGATTAGATTATTTTCAGCCCAATTCAGCTAAATTGGATCATTTTCCGTGATTCATCCGACAATCTCGCACGGTCCACTAATGTGCCACGGGACACAGGTTGGGCATCACTGTCCTACGGGAATAATGAGTGAATCGTCAGCTCATTGTTAGAGAAATAAAACACTTTTATTTACAGTCATAAATCACTCTCTCGTCGCTCTGGAGCACAAACAGTTCTGGTATAACTTAACAACAGACGAGTCAAAGGCTACTGGAGGACTGGCACTAAACTGAGAAACCCGAAACCCACCGGGGTCTTCACCCTTCCTCAGGCACCTGCAGGAGTAACGTCAACACTTCGGTCCCTTTTTCAACACCTCCGTCCAGGAGCGTTCACGTCTGTCAGGCGTCAGTGTTACGCAAACATCGCTTCAGTAAAAACAGTTCAGTTAATTTTAGTCATGCATAAAAAAAACATAAAATAAAAGTGTCAACTCATCACATCATCAAAAACAACGGTTACACAATAGATAAATTAGAACCTGTTCCACCAACCAGCGTATGATTAATACTGTGCAAATACACGTCTGTGCTGTACAGAGATATTTTTTCTACCATGTTAAAGTCAAAGCACAAATTTTTCAAAACGACTACAGAAGACGCCGGTAAAATATTACAACACGTCGGACGGAACAGCAAAAATATACACACGTTGATTCCCTGTCTTTTGACTTCTGTCCTTTTTGTGCATTTTCATTCTTACATTCTCTTTTAGCGTCTCTGATTTGTTTACAGCACGGGTTCCCCAACCCCCGGTCTGTGGACCAGTATCGGTCCATCGGTTGTTTGCTACCTTTCATTTAAACAGAATCTGGAATTTTTTCAAAATAATATCTTTCACACTCCTGTACCAGATTTGGTCAAAGTTCGGCCCGTGGGCCAGATATGGTCCGCAAGGCTTTGCAACCCGGCCCTCCAAACACTGGTAAAAACCATGTCATTCAACTGTAATTCCCGTTGATGCCACTAGATGGCGGCAGACATCAAATGTGCTAAATTATCTTTGAAATTATTTTGGTTTATTCTTGAATTTTTTTTATAATTATTTCGCCCAGCATTCTACATCCAATTCGTACCGAACTGGCCCGCCAGTCAAATTGTGAACCTCATTTTGGCCCATCAGCCATACATTTTGCCACCTCCGTCCTATACTTACAGAATGTTAGTTGGGAATTGTCCCCATTGTCGGACAAATAAATGACCTCTTCATGTCTAAAAGGTGTTTAACTTTACTGTCCAGTACTGTCCAACTGGGCCTTGTTACAAAAAAGGTCAGGGACCGTCAGTTTACAGTACATGTTAAGATTGATGTGAAGTAAACGTGATGACAGCGTTGTGTCTGGAGGACGGCGTTGATGTAAAACTCAGGGTATTTGTCATGATGAGGAGTTTCAAAGTGCAAAGAGAGCAGGTTGAGTTCATGTAGGACCTGAAGTTAGTTTGTTACAAGAGTTCATGAGAAAATCTCACTGAGATAAGGATGAAGAGCTCCTAATGTTAATGGACTTTCCTCTTTGTGTATCTATCTATATCTATATCTATATAAATATATATTTATAAATGTATGTATTTATATATATATATATATACATACATATAAAAATATATATGTATGTACATATATGTATATATTTATATATATGTATACATATATAAATACATACATACATATATAAATATATGTACATATACTGTATGCATATCTTTACATACATGTATATGTATATTTATATATATATAAATACATACATACATATAAAAATATATATGTATGTACATATATGTATATATTTATATATATGTATACATATATTTTCATATATGTATTTATATATAAAAAGTGCAGGCACTAGACGAAATGTACAACATCTCTGTCTTCAAGTAAGATCGGCGCCAACGTTCTCCTCCTCCCCGTTTTGGTCGCGTTCAGGGCAAGGCCCTGAGGAACTCGTTTAGACTCTTGACGACGCTGGTGGGCTGCGTGGCGGCACTCTCGCTCAGGCCGGACCCCATCTGGGCATAGAGAGCTTGGCACAGGTTGGCCGTGGCGCTTCTCACGCTTCCCCCGCGGCCGTGAATGGTGCCGCTGTGGGTGGAGCTGCACAGCAGATGCCACAGCAGGGGCAAGGCTTTCTGCTCCACCACCTGGGGCTTGCGGGGGTAGAGTTCCGTCACGAGGTCTGGAAGTGAAATTTGATTTTGAGACAAGAGGTCACGGAGACAGAAGGGGTCAGAGAAAGGTGCTGAGAACTTACTGTAGAGGAGGAAGTGACGTTCTTGACACCCACCCCTCCCCAAATTAAAATCCTAGGGTCTGGTAATATTTATTTATTTATCTGTACCAACCACTGTATGAGTTGCTGGCACCAGCGTTTTGCATATAATCCCCTGATTATTACAATAGATTAATAGAATGAGCTGCAATGCTGCCATCTAGTGACTTTCACTTTCATATACAGCCGTTTGTCCCCAAAACTATTTTTAGTTTTGTGTTTAGCACACATCATTCGGCCCAACCCAGTCATTGCATTATCGGGTTTTCATTATCATAGGAAAAACCAAAAACGATTCTCACAGATATTATATAATAATGCTAATATCGCGCCAATAATATCGGTCGGCCGATATTATTGGACATCCCTAATAAAAAGTTATAACATCGAAAATCAAAAAATGTTCATGCAGTGTCAAAGAAAATCCAATTATAAGATAAAACAACTTAAAAACTCATGACGGGGACAAATATACATAAATATAAAAATAGATTCAAAACTTGAATGAATTCGTACCTGCAACCTTTTCAATAAGATCAACTTTTGCTTTGCCGTTCAGAAACTGAGCCTTGGTGCAGAGAGGTTGTAGAAGAAGTACGTTATCTGTCATGAAAAAAAAAAAAAAAAAAGTTATATTTTTTATTGAATTAAATGAAGTTCCTAAACATTCGCACCAACATGCGTGCGTAAAAAAAAAAAAAAAGAGTTATATGTTTAATTGAATTAAATTAAACATTTGCACCAACATGCGTGCGTCAGGGCTAGTACCGAGGTTAAGGATAAGTGCGTTGATGGCTCCGATAGCAGCGGTGTAGATGGCGTTGTTTTTGGAGTTGAGGTGATTGTCCACAATCGCGGGGACCAGGATGTTGACCACCTGGGACAGGTTGTCTTTCATGAAGTGGATGATTTTCTGCAGCGACTCCAGGGCGTGCAGGTTGACCTTGGAGTTGGACTCCTGCAGCCGGGCCTTGAAGGCATCAAACAACTGGACAGAGGGTTGAGACACGGTTTACACCTGACCTCCGAATCAGACCAGCGGTCAGATTAGCACTGAGGGACCATACTCACTGGAAATATACTGTTGACGACCAGGTTGGGGTTGTGCTGGCAGTCGCACACCAGCTGGTCGATTCCTTTCATCCTCTCCCTGAAGTCCTTTGAAGCCAACAGACCTGAGATCTGCTTGATGTATTCAGTCTTATCCGCGATGCTCTGGATCTGAGATCGGCAGACGTAATGGCTGTTTGACTCCCTGTAGACGGAACACAGTACGGGGATTTTACATTAACGTAAGCAGCGAATCAGGTCTTGCGCAGGCACAGAGGCATCAAAGTCAGAGATCCACACTTAGGTAGAGTAGAAGAGTACTGTTAGATAAGTACTTTTTATGATTCCTGGATACTGAATATTTGTTTATTTCATTAGTGTTATGTTTGGCCGTGTTGTTTATTTCATTAGTGTTATGTTTGGCTGTGTCTTTGTCTTGCTTGCTAACAGCAAAATAAGCATCAAGACTCAATACTACCACAGTAGGCAGTTTATTCTTGGGTTCTGTCAGTGATCATTTTAGGCTCATTAATTTCCGCTTCCATCAAGTAAATATTCGGATTCTCATGTTTTGGGGGGTGGGGGTTCTTAGGACTTGGGGTTCGAACCAGGGTTCTTTATTGTAAGGCAAGAGCACTGCCCAAAAAAACACTGAATCCTTAATATGCTGCGGTTCAGACTTTTTTTTTGGATTGTTAAATTCGCTTTCTTTTTTTTTACTAACCAGTAAATCTAACGTTAGAGCGCCCTCTGTGAATTCACATAATTTGGCCTATTGTTTATACAGCAACATTGCGAGTGTTTTGAGTGCCACCTGTTGGTCTGGTGGAGAGGCTCCCTGGTGAGAGATGACGCTCTGACTGTGCCGCTGCCCGGCAGGGATCGTCTTCCTCTGGCGGACTGAGAGTCCTGAGGCATTTCTCCCAGACCCTGGAACAACGTGGGGAGCAGGGGTGAGACGACAGTGTGGGAGCTGGAGACAAAATCATCAGAACTGTGAGGGACAAACACCACACCTTGGTCTTGAGGGTGAAGACAGTGTCCTTGACAGTGGGCAGGTCTTTGGTGGGGACGTACTTCTCCACTATCCTGTCAAAGTCCGGGTGGGACGACAGGGACAGCAGCATCCGACGGCCGAAGTGTCTGCGTGAACCACAGAGAGGCGACGTAGAGATAAATACTTTTTATCAGCTTTCATTTTGTTCCTGTCTTGTTCAGTCGCACTCTACTCAACAGCCAATCACAACAAACGGTTCTTTTTCCGTGGAGCGTGGACACGTGAGGCTGAACTCTACAGTGTGGGCCACGCCAACAATGGGTGTTTGTGTGGAACTGCAGCTGCACGGCCCGACCTCCTGGGCCTGTTGTTTGTCTGACTGCTGCTATCTGTACAGTGTCATAACTCATGCTCTGCACCAATGGTTATCAACTGGCGGTCTGTGGGCCGAATCTGGGCCGTGACAAATTTGAACAAGCTCCAAATAATGTTAGAAAAAAAGTGATGTTTATTCAGGTTTATTTATTTGAGTGTCGACCCTCGGTAAAAAAAATGTAGTTGGTGACCCCTGGTGTACATGTACAGTACGTACATAAGTCTTAACACGTAGTGATTGGTTTCATTTAAAATCGTCAATTGATTGAAGTTGATAATCTGATTAATCACGAGGCAGCTGTAGATTAATCACGATTAATCATGGTCTTAATTCATAAATCAACTTTCCAAAGTATGAGAAGAAATGTTTATATTGATGGACTAAAGCAGTGAAATACTATTGAGAACATGTATATATTTTTATCTGTACAAACCACTGCATGAGGTGCTGCCACCTAGTGACTGGAGGCTTGTTCATCATTCAAGCATTACAGCAGTGGTTCACTGATGCCCCCGGTACCTCACCACGCCCCACTATTTGAGAAGTACCGGACTAAAGCGACCAATAAGAGCAGCTTAATGTTTGTGTTTAACGGCGGTTTATATTTGCGACCAATCAGTTTTGACTTTTGAGACTTTTGATTAAAAACTAAAAACACAGAACTTCCCCTTTAAAGACAGATTGTACTTTTATGAACTGTGAAAACGCTGTGAACGAACCTGGCCTCCTGT